TTATGGGGCAGACAAAGGCTTTTTTCAACAAAGGGCCATAACTCCTTTTAAAAGGGTCGGAATGAAAACGCACTTCTTGGATGCACAATGTCAAGGTACAGTTACCATATCTGTAAACTTTCGTTGAAATTGGCGCCATGGTTTTGGAGGACTTGTCTGGACAAGTATTTTTCAACAAAGGGCAATTTCTCCGTAGAAAATAGTTTTCTATTAAGATTATTTTATTGTTTTTATATGATTGCACATCTTTGTTTATAACATAATCTCAACCTTGAGTAGTTCTTCAGAGGAAAGATTACTTTGGCAGAATACATATTCAGGAGTTATTACTGTTGCACATAACTTTAAAACATGCGTAATATAACAAAGTGTTTTGGTATGATACAAAACTTAAAATGTATCGGTTTTTACCATAATAAACATTGATAATCAAATCTCAATGATTATGTGAAATTAGCCTTTGATCAGATCATGTTTGGCATGCTAAAAAAGTACTTTGTCGGTTTTGATTTTACATGTAAATGATTCTGTTGACAGAAGATGTATATGGAAAGTTTTTAAAGAAGTTTAGAAAATAGACTACATGTACCATAGTCCGAATTATTCTGACGTTTTATCGTCTATTAACGACAGACCGATATTAAAAAGTCGATAAAACGTCAGAATAATTCGGACTACATGTATCATTGTTACTATATATAGACAAGTTTGCAATGTTGAATATATTTTATTTTTTTGTGAAAATATGACATATTTAGTATCAAAATAACAGTATTTTATACAATGTAATTCATCATAATTCATTTAAAAAAACAACAACATTCGCCTGTGACATTTAACTATTATTTTGTAATAGGATACTCCCGTCACTAAACCTGGTGTTAAGCAAGGAGGTCTACTACGGTTATCATTAGTAATTATGAATAATCATTTATGCAGTTATTGATAATTTTTATGTATCTACATATGGCAAAAGAATAATAGAAATCAAAGCGGGGGCCAAATGGTGACCCAACCTTGACTGGAAGCATGCCTAGGTGGTGGGGATTTATTGGTTTAGTTTGGTTTGGTTTTTGTTTAACGTCCTATTAACAGCTAAGGTCATTTAAGGATGTGCCTCCATGTGTGTATTGTATGCGTGCTTGCGTGTGTGCCGAGCCTCGGGTTAGACAGCCAAAACACATCACCCTTCAAGTTTCACAAGTTTTATTTTTACACTCACGCCACACGTATACGTTCGTAACAAGAGGTCACATATTACATAGTATACATTGATGGACATAGTACATACATAATATGACACATGATACAATTTATACACTAACATTCCATTTCAATAATTTAAAACTTATTTTAGATATTAATTAGCTTCATTACTCTTTGTATAAATTTACTTACTTCTGTTAAAAGTACCGTGTTACATATTGAGAACATTCCTTTCATTTTGATATAAGTTGGGTTTACATAATAATAATTTGGTATATAAAGTTGTCTAAGAGCTACAACAGATACATTAGTACATTGGTATAAGTAGTGGTATTCGTCCCCAACACAGTTATTACATAGGGGACATAACCTTTCCTCGCGTGGGACTCTATTCTATCTTCCTGTTTCTATAGGAAATTTTATATTTGATGTTCTAAATTTACATATTACTTTTCGTTCATTACGATTAAGCTTTAAAAGATATGGTTCAATATTAAACTGATATTGGAATAAAGAGTAAACTTGCCCTCGCGAGGAGGTTTCAACATCATGAAACCAACTCTGCTTCATGATGGTTTTCAAGCATTGTCTATTAATTGTACATGATATTTGGAAAGTCCATAAATTATTAAATCCAGTATTGTAAAAAATATCACGTATATACGTTAACCATTTAAAACTTAATACACAATTCTGGTGCAAATTGTGCATTAACTTATACATTACACTAGATCATTTCGATCCACCCGTTATAAGAACACTGATTTCAATTTCCAAGGGATACCTTCCCAACTCACCATATACCATATAATTTGGGGTGCTCTTCCGAATGTTAAGTGTTTCCTTACAAAAAACCCTTGAGTTGGAGATTTCTCTGTCACACCCTCATGGTAGGGGAATATTCTATTAATCATCATCGTCATAAGCTAAGCATCATCATCATGATCACAGCAATAATCAGAAGAACAGGGAACATAAAGGGAAGAGAGAAGAAAGGTAGGGTAAGGTGGGGTGAGATGGTGGAACAAGAGGTGGATATACACTCCTGTATGTTAAATTATATATCGATAATATATCGGCTTTGTGAAGGGCTATCGAAGATTCCATAGTCCATACCCACGAAAAGAAGCAGAAATCAAAATATGTATAATAGAGCTCGATCGTCTTCAAAATAATAATAATAATAATAATAAAAAAAAACTGTATTACAATTTAATTAGTTTGTCCCATTTTTTCAAGTCATTTTCAAATTTATGTTTAATATTTTCATCCTAACCATTAGCAATGTATTTTTGAATCAGATAGTTGTCTTTTATCATGTTTATAAGAGCGTTTATACTTAATGAGTTATGTAAACATCTCATTCTGTAAATTCATGATCTACTCGATTATTGGGAAGAAAATTCTGATGAAGAAGGCCAAAAAGAACAGATTTTTTGTTTACTGAAAATGGTAGAACCAGTTGTTGCTATATTCCCCTAAACGCTGAACGTTAAGCAGGAAATAACAACTACCGTTTTTAAGGACTTTGGTATGTCCCGGCCTGGGGACAGAACCCATTGCCTTCGTCACCTGGACGAACGCTCAACATTAAGGTCAAAAGGGAGGTGTTGCCAAGCAAGGCTCTAGGAAATAAAAGGTAAGTGAATAAGTTGTACAAATGGTAGCGCTGACCAAGGGGGTAATTTGACTATATTGCTTTAAATGACTTCTTCTCTGGAACTAAGAGATATATATTAACCATATATGATTGGAAGCATTATCAGATAGTAAGAATTTAAAATTGTACGAATGGAGGGCATCCCCACCCCATAACAATAACATACGATTGCTGGAAATAAAAAGGCAACACAGTCCTAATATTGGAATTGAGCCTGCTACATCAGTATCTAGATATGTACACGTACATGCTGCCAGATTTACCATCTACCCCTTTTAAATGCTGACAGAGTCAAAATGACGAAATATTTGTAGTGTAATATACATGTACAATGTATAGTTGGTCATGACTGCGTAAATATCCAGGTGAGCGATACAGGCCCTTTTGTCATTTTTTGTCACAATTTCGCAGTTAACCCGTAGTGGAATCTATTGGAACAAGTTGCAAAGTTAAGTTCACAGAGTTTGATAAGAATAGGTGAAATATAACATGCATTCTTTAGCCACATTATGGTTGGCTATGTAAATTGCTCAAACTGAGGGAACTGAGGATATGAAGCTGGGTGGTTACATCTCACAACACCTTACATCTGAAGGTGACTATGAGATCTGGGTAAATCGCCACTCAGCAGACTTATTACGTGGTCAGATTCCTCCCAGACATAAATCTCAAACAAAGTACATAGTCTGGATCAAATAATACAGTAAGACACTGATGGTCCTGTTAAATATTATTATTGTCAGTGTCCGGCTGGTAAAAGAACAATAGGCATGTGTGCACATACAGCAAATATATTATATTATTTGGGATACATGTTTCACAACAAGACACAATCTCCTTGCTCACAAACAATACATTGTTTGAGACATTGCCTTTAAGTAATATTAAAGTAATTAGTAAAATCAAAAATTGAACAAAAACTCAATGCAAGTGCTAGAATTCGTCCTCTTCCAATAAAAACGGATAATTTCACTGTCAATGTGTTATATTGTATGCACAGGCTGTGATTATATCTACAATTGCTATTTTAGTATTTGAACAGAAAGTCAGAAATATGGGTCCCTTAATTTAAAGTTTTGAAAATGAAACCTTTACCGGTTTCAGAATTTGACGATAAAAATAATATATATGTAGCATAATTTATAAACAATAACATTTAGTGGACTGACACTATAAACAGAACAAGAGGAATGCGGACTTGTGTCACGTGATCTTTTAGCTCATTTTGGACTTAAGTTTTGACAAGGAACCCGGTACTGGCATCACAGTTTCTAGTAAATAAGTACATATTTGGTATCAAAATGATCAACAACATCGTAGCAGCAGCATAATAAGGGGAAATCGGTTTGAGATTAAAATAGAGATGTGTCAAGCTTTTGAGTAAGTATAACTTTATGTTCTGAGCAGAAGTACTTCAGTGAGCTCCCATTTGGCCAACTCATACCCTTGGAAGCTGAGACCATAAATTTCGATACTCTCTGCAGTCTGGCAACGTTGTTGTAAAATATGAAAAAATCGCTGCGTGAGCCAAAAATGGACCCACCTTTCATGTTAAATGTTATGTAACTAAAATGTTCTTTGTCAAGGTCTGGCCTATAAAAGTATTAAATAGATCTTTAGAAATCTATATTCCATGGACTTATTGTCTATGGGTGTTCTAATTAGAAATCTAAAGAATGATATACTAGCTGACATAATTATTATTTTGATCGCTTCTGCCGAAACGTGTCTTGCAAAATTTTTTAACCTTTAGATGGTAAATAGCATATATGCAAACCACATTTCGGATGGTGATAGGCCTCATGTTGAAGAAAAAAAATGGTTTCGCTGGGGGTCGAACCCAGGACCTTTCGCGTGTGAGGCGAACGTGATAACCACTACACTACGAAACCGTCGCTTCAATATGGCAAATATTTTATATTTATTTCCTTTAATCTAATTAGCTGATGGGTTTGTCACTTTTTTGCTATATTTTCGATAACTTGTTGATTTACACAACAAGAAATGGTTACAAACTATGAAAATCCATCTTATGAATCGATTATTTTTGCTTAACAAATCGCTTTTATTAAAAAATGAGCATGGCAAAAATTGATGATATCCCATGATGCATTATTGTTAGTTAGGACCGAAAATGGCGGCCATATTGACTGATCATTCAAGGAAAATACGTCAAGAAAATCTCTTCGTTTAGTGTGTTCTTTACGTCACTTTGCTCTAAAATTACTGTAAGTTACCGTTTAAGCTGTCATAGATTCATTTTGTAGGCTATTTGAGTGTTGAAATTTTACCTGATTTTCATTGACAACACTTTGTTTTCGTTGAAAAACTGCAAATATCAATGTTTTGGCAAGAAATCACATATTGGATGTAAATATTGTCGTATTTTAATGTTATTTTCGACATTTGCAGGTTAAAACAGATGCCGTTAGTGCATTTATGTTACAAATTGCTTATGCACAATTTATGACGTGAGCAAGATCGACAGTGACACGTGATTGGAAAGGAATTTTGTTCAATTTGCCTTTGTTGGGCCGCTACCAGACAGTTGAGGATGAAGCGATTTCATGACTCAAGATGAGCAAGGTATGAACTGATAGATCACTTTCTGACTTTGGTTGTCACATATCATTTTGTAACCTATCCTTTCTGAACAGTTTGTATCTATTTCTTGTTGTGATGTATTCTATTTTTATAGAAAACGAGGATTGAAACTCGCCGCCGACACACAGCCGCCATGTTGAATTTTTCAACTTTTGCAACAAGACTTGGATTTAGTCGCTGTTTATGCATTAAAATGCATATATCTGATGCTTTAACCACTTATTTTTGTATTCATCAGGTTTTCCTTGATATTTTGGCGTATCTTTTGTTTGTGTCAATGAGACACGATTTGTAATATGTGCAAAGACTTGAGGCTACCCCCTTTCATAAATTTGCTGATTCTGAAATTTGTTTTTCAGACCATAGGCAAAAAATATCGTGTAAAATATCATAATTGGACGTGTTTCATGATTATTTTTGTGTTAAAATGCTCTAAACATGTTTGTCTTCCGTATGACCTTGAAATTTGACTATTTCTTTACAGGCCCATTTTTGCAATTTACATTTGTTTTTTGGACTCTGTTTATTTTCTCTGTACTCATATCGTCATGATACAAACATTGAAGTGATATTGTGTGAATTTCGTGCTAATTATGCATTTGTATAAATGAAGCTATGTTTGTGTAGTTTAAATGCTTTTGCATGTAACTGTGATGATTTAAATGGTTCTTTTCTATTGTTTTCTTCTGTTTTTATTGGTATTTATTGATGTATTTCAAAACTACAATGCTGGTACTGTAAATAAGTAGCAACAAACATTCAGCGAATGGTAAATTCACCTGACTATGGGTAAACATTGTTTAAACAGTTGTAAGGTATTCAGAATGATGCCAAAGGAAGAAAAATGGTGAGAAATATGTTGTTTTCTTTACTGAAAAAACTTGACATTCAGTGGAAAATGACCAGAAGAAAATACAAATAGTAGGCTTTGTTTTCTTTATTTACTAATTTAAATACTAGTTGTATGAGTAAGGATATGGGCTCCAATTTGCTGAGTAAACTAGACAAGAAGAACCATTTTACTAACAAAATCCCCCCCCCCCCCCATTCTTTATTCCTGTGTGCTCTGTGGAACAAGACAAACACCATTTAAGTGAAAAACTTCAATGTGTTGTTTTATAATGCATTTAAAGGAACTCATTAATTAGAATATTAATATTAGGAAGTGGTCCAGGAACATGAAATTCTGTTTGTTTTGCATTAATTTTTAATTATCACATACATCAATATTACAAATGTAAGTTTTTATACTGCAAATTAGTGTAAAAATAGTGTATTATAGCATGCAAGATCCTTGCTATATGATTTCATCTGGTTACTTGTAAATGCATATTTAAATGACAATATTAAAAGGTTTATAGGTGTATAGATAGATTGCTTACAGCTAAAACAGAGCTTATCTTTTGATAGTGTGAAAGTTCCAAACGTTGCTTGTTAACCAATGTTTAATGGATGATTAAGGACTGGAAGGATTAATCTACATAGTTATAATGTCTGAAAAGTAAAGGTTTATGAATAAATCAGCATTTGTAAAGTTTGCCTGCATTACAATTTTATTGTGTAATAGTGAAAATGCTTTAAAACATTTGTAGGATACTTTAATTAGAGCTATAAGAATACAAGTATATTATTGCTAAGAATGTATCATGATTGTGATATCTATCAATAAGACCTTTAAAATGGAATTTCATTTTGATGGTAGATTTATAATGAATTTGAATAAAACAAAACCTAAGCAACTTGCTGCAATACAAATGTGTTGTGATTGTTTTACTATTTATAGGTCTTTTATACATATTGATAGCTTAAAACAATATCATATTTTAATCATGCTTTATGACTATTCTATTATTGCCAATAATGGGACAAATGTAAAATTGGGTTGAATGGAAAAGCTATTTTATTTACATTTTTGTTGCTTTTGTTAATGTTACAGACCATAATACTGCTGTGGAAGGTGTTTTTTTTGCTACATAATAATCTTACTGCAAGTTACAAAATTTTAGATTCATATTTATATCATTAATTGTTCATATATGTATCTAAAGAAATGAGTTGTCTTTCCTTGATAAATAAACTATTGTTTGCTGCAAGGTATGTTGGTTACATCGTTCAAATGGAATCAAGCCAGCTTCCTAGATGTTAGCTTTTTGACGGCATATAAATTCAATCATAAATTCTCTGTTGAAAAAATATGAGATATGGTGCTGACTTTAAATGGCTTGTTGCATTATCTCCCTTTTGTTACTGTATTCCATTTCGTTTGTGTTGTAAATCAGCGTAAACTGTATATATGTCTTGATATTGCAGACAATGAGGTACAAGCAGCTGTAACATATCAAACATGACAATCATCTATATAGAGTTAAAAAAAAAATGTCTGACTTTGTTTGAAGGTCATTTATAGCTGATTTTTTGATTGCTTATGAGATTGTAATACAAAAAAGCTAAAAGTTTTTTGATACTACAGCTGTCTTTAATTTTCAAGAATCTACAATTAGCAATTTGAATTTGTAAATCAGCCTTAATGCCTAACAGAACGTTTCCTGTTTGTATCATGACTCTTGTGTCGTTCAGTTACAACAGAAGTGGGTTACATGTTCATCAACATGTATACTACATGAAATTATGGGTGAAATATTTTTGAGAATTCTGTATATATCTCAAACTCTGTTATAACTGGCATACATCATACATCATTACAAGACCTATTGTCAATGTCAATTCTATTTATTGTAAACTTTTAAGAATTTCACTTGACTAATAGTTCTAACAACTTAAAATCCTGCTTGATTTTTAAAAGACTAAAAAAATAACCTTTAATAGGTTAAAGAGATGAACTTTTGGTTAAAGTGTGGAGATGTAATTACATAAACCCCTCAGTAAATCGCATACAATACTGTTAATTGCAAAATATTCAGCAGATGGTAAACAACTATAAAGGCAGCCATATTATGTCTGCAATATTGATACCAGTGTTTGTGTGTGTACAAAATGGAGGCTGTACAATGTTATATACATAGTGAGGCTACACAGTACTTTATAGGGGCTATGTGTCAGGGTCTAGAGTGGAAGGTGTCATACATTGTCAAGGTCATCTCAAGGTCATCAACATGTGAGGTGGAAATAGGTCACTATAACCTTGACCTTTGTAATACTGATTTTTATATGCTAGGCTATTAAAATAATATCAGTTTGGTTGACATTTATAGTTTTGCACTTATAGGAGTGCATTTCAAGGTTATTGCTCCAGGACTAGAACTGTAAAATGTAAGGTCTATCTAAAGGAAAGAAAATCCTGTAGCTATTTGTCACATTTAACATTATTTTGTGTATCTATAATTATGGTGCATGTGAAATTTGATGTCTGAAAATTTGTATGGTAAATAGTTTTAACTTTGGATGTTGTTCATGACAGGATGCTCTATGTCACAATAAAGTTATTTGTGGGTCAACTGACATTTTAGCTTGTGGTTGTAAGATTCACAGAACATATCTGTTGTAGTATGGAACATTTGAGATTGTCTGTTACATCTAGTCATTATAATGTAACTTGGGTGTTGATACCTTTTATGAACATTGCAGACATGTCTATTGTGAAGAAAGAGTCAACAAACACATGATAATTGAATGTGGACCAAGCTGACATTGTGGCTACAGGATGTGTACCCTCTTTACTTTCATATGATGTTGATTTTTCGAGAATTTAAGACGGACCCATTTGAGATATTTCACTAATTATTTCCAAGGATTTAATAACTAGACTACTATCAAATGAAGCAAGTTGTTATCGGTGTAATTCTTACCTTCCAATGATTTAAAAATGTTCAGAAGTTGCCACAAATTATATACAATGTATACATGTATAATTATATGAAGTTCTTGGTTTGTATTTTGTATCAATTGTGGAACTGAACCAGAGCTTCAATGTTGATAAGCACTCAAGCTTGCTAATATCATTATTAATTGATCAGTAAATGATTAAGTTTTAATTCTGATGCTGGGTTATCTTAGAATACACTGGTACATATTGATTATAAGGCAGCCATTTTGTGTCTGCAGTGGGTGTGTACAAAATGGAGGCTGTACTAGTGTTATATAGTGAGGATACTCAGCACTGTATAGGGGTTTTGTGTGAGGGTCTGGAGTGGAAGGTGTCATACATTGTAATGGTTATTAATTATCAAGGTCATCTCAAGGTCAACAGCATGTGAAGGTCACTGTGACCTTGACCTTTGTGATACATATTTTCTATTGATTGGCTTTGTAGAAAACATAGATTTTGTTGAAATTCGCTGTTTTATAAAAGTGCATTTGACGATTATTGCACAAAGGCAAGAATTATTATACAAGATGTCTATCTAATGCAAATACAATCTTATTTGTCAGTTTTGACATGACTTAAGGGATGTGGGATGATAATACATGTTGAATGTCTGAACATTTTTATGATAAATAATTAACTTTTGATGACGTTCATGACAGAATGCTCTACCGTCTACTTCACAATTAAATTGTCTGTGGGTCAGTTGACATTTTATAACTTGTGGTTGAAAAATTTACAGAGTAAATCTGTTGAAGTACAGAACATTTGACATTGTCCATTACATCTAGTCCTTAAAATGTAACTTGGGTGTTGATACCTTGTATGAACATTGCAGACATGTCTATTGTGAAGAAAAAGTCAACAAACGCATGATAATTGAATGTGGACCAAGCTGAAATTGTGGCTACATGATGTATACACTCTTTACTTTCATATGATGTTGTTTTTTCGAGAATTTAAGACGGACCCATTTGAGATATTTCACTAATTATTGACAAGGATTTAATAACTAGACTACTATCAAATGAAGCAAGTTGTTATAGGTGTAATTCTTACCTTCCAATGATTTAAAAATGTTCAGAAGTTGCCACAAATTATATACAATGTATACATGTATAATTATATGAAGTACTTAGTCTGTATTTTGTATCAATTG